CACTCCCCTACCCTGTCCCTATAACCCTGCACTTCCCATGGCTAATCCACCTAGCCTGCACATCTCTAGACACTGGGCAATTTAACATCGCTGATCCACCTAACTTGCACATCCTTGGACTGTGGGAGGAAACCAGAGTACCTTGAGGAAACCCATGCAGATATGGGGAGAACATGCAAATTCCACACAGAGGCTGAGGCTTGAATGTAGTTATGAAAGAGGGGTGTGAAATGTTGAATGGGTAAATATAGAGAGGGAGGAAATAGTAAGGGGTTTAAAATTACCAGTCTAGAATGAAATATATCCCAGGCTGCTTAAAAGAAGCACAGGAAAGATACCTGAGGCTCTGCAGGGAGTGTTAGAGCTCAGGTAATTATAAACCAGTCAGCCTGATCTTGGTAGTGGGCACATAATTGGAAATAAAATTGGGAGATTGTATAATTAGTGTGGCATGAATTAATTAAGGACAGTCAGTATGATTTTATAAGATAGCTTCTGATCACTTGATTGAAGTTTTTGAGGAAGCAAAAAGGAGAGTTGATGAGGATTGTGCATTTGACATATCTATGTGGGTTTTACAAAGGTTGTTGACATGGTCCCTATATTAGACTAACCAGTAAATTAGAGATACATGGGGAAGTGGCATATTGGATCTAAGATTAGCTGAATGACGATTACAAAGGATAATGATTGACAGGTGTTTGGACTGATCAAATGGGCAGAATAATGGCAAATGAAATTCAGTCCAGAGAAGTGTGAGGTAATGCATTTAGAGAAAATAAACAAGGCAAGAGACAACACATTAAATAATATAATTTTGATAAGTGAAGAGAAATAGAGGGTCCATGAGATTGTATTTCCTAGACAAGGTAGCAAGGTTGGATAGATAAAATGGTCAAGAAGATGTACTGAATATTCTCCTTTCTTGGCAGAGGCCTAGAGTTTGAGAGTAGGGAGATTATGCTACAAATGTATAAAGCACTAGTCGGTCTGCAGCATATAGTTCTTGTTACTGTAGTAGGAGAAGCAATAACCATTCTAGAGAGGGTGTAGAAGAGATTTCAAAGGATCTTGTCAGGAATTGAGAACTTTACCTGTGAAGATAGATTAGATAGGCTGTGCTTGATTTATTTTCAGCAAAGGAAGCTAAGGTGAGATTTAATTGAGGTGTGTGAAATGTTGAGATGTCTAAGTAAGACAGTTAGATAGGGAGGGCTTATTTCCATTAACAATGAGGTCAATAACCAAGGGCATTGGTTGAAAGCAATTGGGAAAAGCTTAGAAACGGTTAAGAAGAAATCTTTGTCCAGAGGGTAGTGGGAATATGGAACTCCCTGCCTGAAAGGATGACAGAGGCAAAAACCCTCATCATTTAAAAAAAAACTTGGATATGCAATTAATGCTATAAACCAAGACCTGGAAGGTAGGGTTAGACTGATAGCTCTCCTCTGACCAGGCCTGACAGAGTGGGCCAAATGGTCTCCTTTTGTACCGTAACGTTTTCAAATTTTCTAGTTCAAGTATAAGGAGCAACTGCGAATAGACCAGTAGCAGCAGAAGGATATGAACAAAATGCACTGCTGTAGGAGAAGAATGAAGCTGAAGTCTGTTGAGTTCTGGAGCTTCAGTTGTGCTATGTTTAGAAGGCAGTGACAGAAATAAGAGTTAAAAGACTTAGTTAGTAGCAACCCAGCAGGTTTTGATTGCAGTATTTCTCCAGTTGCCTTTTTCATCACTTAAGACAGGTTCCAGCTGTTTAGATACCTATCGCGGCCCCTACTCCTTCCCCACCTGAAATGCATGGATTCATCCTAGTGACATTACTGTAGAACCTCCCAGTATAGTTTCAATTTTCTGCCATTTTGACAGTTGTAAATATTTTAGTTATTGCAGCCAAGAACACCTTCCTTTTAAGAGTTACAGACTACCGTTAAATCACATAAGACAGGCACGATTTAGCAAGATACATGTAGGAACTTCAAGTCCATAGAGAATCATAGAATCCCTACAGTGTGGAAGGAAAGTGATAACTGCCAAAGTGATTCGACAAACATTATATATTAAATAAAAAACTATATTAATTTTGGCACATCCATTACAGGCAACTCTCATAACTCCACATCCAATCTACGCCAACTAGTGCAATTAGTTCATCTTTATGTGCTACCAACAGTTAAGATGTTGGCATCTTACAGTGGTGCTGATACATTTTGCGTTGTTTATTTTTTGTAAGAAGAATGCATGATTTCAATCCACAGTTGCTATATCCAGATTCTGCAGTGACAATGTGATTGATAGATGATAATAATGATAGGTGTGAAGCAGCAAGTATCTGAGACACCAGTGCTGGGATGCATTGTAGGATCTAAGTCGTGAGTGACTTAGCTTTAGAACAAATGATGTGGTGACCATGTGATATCTAATGGGCAAAGCTTGGTTATTTTGTCAAGGCACACATATGATTCAGTTAACTATTTTATCATTAATCTGAAACTGCTAAGAGGACATGTCTTTATATTGTATCCTCCATGCAAACAGCCATATGATAATGATAACCTGATTTTATCATGATATTTGAGGAATAAATATTGACCATCACATAAGGGCTAATTCCCCTTCTGTTTTTTAAAATTGAGCCATGGTTATGTTAATATGCACTTTATAGTTGGAAATGCCTCATTTTCTCGGTGCTTCACATAGCTTCACAATAGAATCTGCCTAGTTTATTGCACTCAGGTATCTGGAGTAGCACTTGAATCCACAACATCAGTCCAAACATAAGGAACAATCTTCAGCTAGAAGTGCCAAGTGGATGATCCATGTCAGCCTCCCCCAGTGGACCCCAATATGACAGATGTCAGTCTTCAGCCAGTTTTATTCATCCTACATGATACAAGAAATAGTTGGAGATACTGGATACTACAAAGGGTATGGGACCTGATAACATTGAGGGGAGGCAGCAGCCTAGTGGTATTATCACTGGGCTGTTAATCCAGAGACCCAAGTAATGTTCTGGGAACTGGGGTTCAAATCCTCACCATGGCAGTTGGTGAAATTTGATTTCAATTTTTAAAAAGATCTGGAATTAAGAGTCTAATGATGACAATGAATTAATGTTGATTGTCAGAAAAACCTATGTGGTTCACAAATGTCCTTTAGGGAAAGAAACTACCATCTTTACCTGGTCTGGCCTACATGTGACTCCAGACCCACAGCAATTTGGGATGTGCAGTAAATGCTGGCCTAGTCAGCGACACCCTCATCCCATGAATGAATTAAACAAAACATTCCAGCAATAGTACTGAAGACTTGTGCTCCAGATCTTGTTGTACCCCTAGCCATGCTGTTCCACTACAGCTACAACACTGGCATCAACTTGTTGCCTAGATACATCCTGTAAACAAAAAGCAGGACAAATCTAACTCAGCCAATTACCACTTGATCGACCAACTCTCAATCATCTGTAAAATACTGGAAAGTATCATCAAAAGTGCTGTCAAGCTGCACCTGCTGAGCAACGATCTGTTCACTGACACCCAGTTTATACTCCACCAGGGCCACTCAGCTCCTGACCTCAAACAGCCTTGGTTCAAGCAAGGACAAAAGAGCTGAATTCTGAATTGAGGTGAGCATGACAGCCCCTGACATCAAGGCCACATTTGACCAAGTATGGCATCAAGGAGTCTAAGCAAAACTGGAAAAACTCTCTACTGGTTGGAGTCATACCTATCACATAGGAGGATGGTTGTAGTTGTTGGAGGTCAGCCATCTCAGTTCCAGGACATCTCTGCAGGAATTCTTCAGGCTAATGTCCCAGGCTCAACCATCTTCAGCTGCTTCACAAATGATCTTCCCTCAACCATAACGTCAGAAGTGGGAATGTTTGCCAATAATTGCACAATGTTCGCCCTATTCATGACTCCTCAGATACTCAAGTAGTCCATGTTCAAATGCACTAAGATCTGGACAGTGTCCAGGCTCAGGTTGACATGTGGCAAGTAAAATTCACACTGCAAATGCCAGGCAATGATCATTTCTAATTTGAGACAATCTAATCACCACCCCAGTGTTACCATCATAGAATCCCTCACTACATCCTGGTGGTTACCATTGACCAGAAACTCAACTGGGCTTGCCATAAAAGTACAGTGACTACAAGAGCAGGCCAGAGGCTAGGAATTCTGCAGCCAATAATTAACATCCTGATTCTCCAAAGCCTGTCCACCATCTACATGGTTCAAGTCAGGAGTGAGATGAAATACTCCCCACTTGGATGAGGACAGCTCTAACGGCCCTCAAGAAACCTGACATCATCCTGGACAAAGCAACCCGCTTGATTGGCATCACACCCACAAGCATCCACCGCCTCCACCACAGACACCCAGTAGCGGCTTTATGCACTATCTGCAGGATACACTGCAGAAATTTGACAAAGATCCTAAGATAGCACCTTCCAAACCCACGACCGCTTCCATCTAGGAGGACAAGGACAGCATATACATGGGAACTCCACCACCTGTGAGTTCCCCTTCAAGCTACTCACCATCCTGATTTGGAAACATCACCGTTCTTTCACTATCACTGGATCAAAATCCTGGAATTCCCTCCATAAGGGTATTGTAGGTCTACCTATAGCACGTGGACAGCTGTTCAAAAAGGCAGCTCAACACCACCTTCTGAAGGGTTATGTTTAGGGTTAGGGTTAGGGTTAGGGACTGGCAATAAATGCTGGCCAGCCAGCGACACCCATGTTCCACAAGTGAGTTTTAAAAACCCTTGTGACATGCATATTCACACGTTTCAGATCTTGAGGATCCACTGCTTTTGTTTCAGTGAGTCGTTCTTAGCTTTATTGAACATTCTTTAAATTTGTAACAGTCCATCCAGCAAAATGTCTTTTGAACATTTTTGTTCTGATCATGTTAATCCAATTTTTGTCGGTGGTTCATCCAAATAGTAAAATAATTAGTTTCTCCCTTAACACTTCTTTCCACGTACAGGTGAGAAACAAATTGAAGTAGAAATGATGCTCAATGGTGATGCTTCAACTGAGAATAGCACTTTCGGAGTACTTGCAAGCATTCATGAAACTTCAAATCTGCATTCCTCTGACAGCTGGCAATCTGCTATACTAATTTACAACAGTTATGACAATCGGACATCATCAGATATTACCTTTGTGACTGTGAACCTAACTAATTTTCCCACTCAAGAAGGTAACTGTATTTATTAGCATGTTAGCTGTGTTAAGGTCTGTAAAGCCAAATGTTATAAAATGATGTTTTTATTTCAAATTCTGCGGCAGGAGAAAACTCTTCAAGTTGAATGAACTGTACAGTGTTAACCTTACGGGCAGGTTAATCAGTGCTCTGGGCAAGAATTTAAACCTAGTTTATCAGGTGTTTGGCCACTAGGAAACAGCATTTAAAAGTAGAATTAAGTACACAATAAAAGATCTAAGTTAGTATTAGAATATGCATCTCAATCATGATGGGTGTGGACAGAATAGACATAAACTGTTGCCATTGCTAGAAAAGTCAAAAACCTCTGGATGCTGATTTAAGGTGAACAGCTAAAGAAACAAATATGAGGAAAAAAATGTTTTTTGTACAGTGTCTATGATCTGGAATGCACTGCCTGAGACTGTGTTGGAAGCAGATTTGATCATGGCTTTCATAAAGAGAATTGGATAATTAGCTAAAGAAAAAGATTGCACATAGGGAGGCGCATTGACTTGCTTTTGCAGAAAGCCAGCACAGACACAACAGCCATGTGCTCTTTCTGTGCTGTGCTGTAACTATTTTGGTATTCCATAGCCAGAGTTTCACAGGTCCATTGAGAGCATGGTTGATGGTAGAGTTGAGACATATATAGCCACGAGTCTGGCATCATGATGTAAGTTCTGAATTTTACAAGTGGCAGGAGATGTGAAGGATGTATTCCTCACTCTGATATGGTGGGACTTCAATTAATTTGGGTTGAATCGGAAATTAATTTGAACTTGGTGCATTTAGAACTTTATTAAAGTACATGAATTACTAGGCTTCAAAGTCCATGTAGTTAAACAAAATATCGAAAGAGGCAAAAGTGTATATTTTTGCCTCTGTTAGCCAGCTACTCTGAGAAGCCAAAATATGGTGGAAAGGAGGGTAGGTAACAGACAATATTGACAGATTTTGGCAGAAGCAATCTAAAGGTGACAGCATTAAAAGAGGGGGCATGTCTTGGTAACAGCAAAAACAGAGAAGGGTGTGTAAAGGTGACGACAACAGAGAAGGGAATGTGTGAAGGTGATTACCAAGGAGGGATGTAGTGCAAGGAACGTGTAAGTGCAAAGACAGAGCTTACCTTCCATGGGCCATATCTACCCAATCTTCATAGCCTCCACCTGAGAGAGAGAGGGACACCAGGGAAGGAAGGGGGGTGGTCCAAGCACAACCAGGGCACAAGAGTAACAAGCAAACTAATGTCCAAATAGGCATACCAGAAAAGAGATGAAAGAGTCATGCTAACAGTTCTCCAAAAAGAAAGCCAATCCCAGGAGACAGTCTGCCCAATAGGCATAGCTCAACTATTTTCATATGTCCAAGTAACAACAACATTGCAGATTGAAGGATTCTAGGGAAGTGGTCACTAATTTATTAGCTATGTTCAGAACAAACTGAGAATCATAGAGGTTGGTAGAAACCCAGTACCAGGGTCCTTGAAGATCACTCCCTAGAATGCTGGCCATTTGAGACTTGAAGACAAGGGGTCATTTTTGCACACAGAATGTACGTATTTCGCAAAGCATTTACCCAGTCTGCATTTTGTCTAACCCAATGTAGTGAGTTATAAGTAGCAAATATAGAAGTCTAGATTGTGTGAAATGCAGTTAAATCCCTGCTTCATCTGGAAAATGTGTCTGGAGCCTTGTAATTTGAGGTGCAAGAAAGTAAACGGGCTGGTTTTACTCTTTCTGCGATTGCATGGGAAGGTGCCACAGTGTTGTGGGTAGGTGTTGGGAGTGGAGTAGGAGTAGACCAGTGTGGCCTGGAAGGAATGGTTCCTGCGGAATACAGTCAAGGGAGGGGAGGAGAATGTGAGTCTGGTGGTGGCATTCAGCTGCAGGTGGCAGAAATGGTGGTTTATGATCCTTTGGATGTGAATACTAGTGGGATGGAAAGTGACCAGGGACCCTATCAGTGTTTTCAGAGGGAAGAGAAGTGGTGAGGGCAGAAGTGCAGGAAATGGGTTGGACACAACTGAGGGCTGTATCAACCACAGTGGTGAGGAATCCTCACTTTGGGAAAAATGTGAACGTTTCTGAGGCCCCCAACAGAAGATAACATCATCAGAACAGATGCAAAGAAGACTGAGAAGCTGGGAGAATGGAATGGAGTCTTTATCAGAAGCAGGATGTGAGGATTGTCCAGGTAATTGTGGGAGTAGTTGGGTTTGTAGTGGACATGTGGTTCAGCACATGTAACAGGATACTATTCTCATAGAAAAGATAATAATCAAAGTTCTCATCTATTATTTAAAAGTATGGAATTTTTGGTGATTTTAGTTTGTAATGATCATGTTGAGGTCCTTCACTGCTGGAGAATGAAACTTTTATCTAACTTGGACATAGATTAAAGATGGGGCTATAGTACTGTTATTTGAGTTCTCGAACCTATGCTCTTTCACACAATTATAGAGTCATAGAGCTCTATAGCACCGAAAAAAAGCCCTTCAACCCATCAAGTCTGCACCAGTCAAAAACAGCCACATAACTATTCTAGCCCCATTTTCCAGCAGTTGGCCCATAACCTTGTATGCCTTGACATCACAAATGTATGTCCAAGTACTTCTTAAATGTTATTAGGGTTTCTAGCTGTACCACTCTTACAGGCAGTAAGTTCCAGATTCCTGCCATCCTCTTAGGAAAAAAATTTCCTCACATCTCCTCCAAACCTCCCACCCCTTACTTTAAATCTGTGCCCTCTGGTCATTGATCCTTCCAGCAAGGGGAAACATTTTTTCCTGTCTACCCTATCTATGCCCTTGATAATTTTATACATCTCAGTCGTGTCCTCCTTAGTATCGTCTGCTCTGAAGAAAACAACCTCAGTCAGCCCAATCTGTTTTCATACTAAAACTCACTAGCCCAGGCAACATCCTGGTAAATCTCCTCTGCACCCTCTCTTCTTATAATGTGGATTCCAGAACTGCACACCATACTCTAGCTGTGGCCTAACCCACATTTTATGCAATTTCAGCGTAACCTCCCTGCTCTTAAACTTTATGCCTCGGCTATTAAACGTAAGTAGCACACATGCCTTCTTAATCGCATTATCCACCTGTCTGGCTACTTAAAGGGACGGGTGCGCTGCATACCAAGGTCCTTCTGATTCTCAGTACTTCCCGTGGTTCTACTGTTCATCATATATTCCCTTGCCTTGTTTGGCCTACCCGAGTGAATGATCTCACATTTATCCGGATTGAATTCCATTTGCTACTGATCAGACCATCTGACCAGCCCATCTGTATCCTCCTATAATCTAGGGTAGTTTGGGCTGAGAGTGCAGAATCGACATCAAAAAGGAATTTACCCACAGTGACAAAGACCCCAAGATTAGGAACAATATATTCAATTATAAAATTTAGGGGGTTTCTATGGAACCACATAAATTTGCCTTAAACCCTTTGTCTGCTAGAATTATTGTACCATGGGGATGTGTTCACATTCTGGTGTAGTATTGATAATTTTGTATCATTAGCTCACTGTCTCTCAGAACTGAATTGTGTATTTTCCAAGCTGTTCCATGTAGGATCCTTGCAGCCTTCAGGGAGGAAATTTTCATACCATAAGTTGGTTGAACAAAAACCCATCAAGATTTAATCAGTAATAAATCTAAAGATTTTAGAAAATCTTGCTAATGCACGTCATTCCTTACAATTCTTTCAAGGGCAATTTCAAATGCAGCATTGTGTAACAAAAATCAATTTCTGTTCTGTTTAACCTTTCTGCAGAGCTTGTGTATGTAATTTACCATCTGGACAACAATAACACGAACCCTTACTTGCAATGGAAGAATCTTGGAAGGCCAGATTTTCCAACAGTGGAACAGTTTCATCTTATCAGAGAAATGGAGGTTTTACTTCAATTTCAATTTTATCATTCAATTATAACATTGATAGATTAGCACAATTTATGCAATATATTATTTATTACCTGTTTTTATATATGTGGAGTACTCTGAATAAAAATTGTTTCTATATATCCAAGTGCTATATTTACATATTAGTTTTTTTGGTAGATCTTGAGGAATTTTTAAAGTTAGGAACATTCTGAGTTTAGTGAGTTTTTTTTTTGTTTTCCAAGAATCCATCCTCATTTTAATATATATTTTTGAAGCCAAATGTTGAAAATTTCATAGACGTCCTTTTTCAATTTTCTACAATTCCAGCAGAATAACTGAAAATGCCACCTGGTTCTTGAAAGCAAGTGCAGAACCTCCGTGCAGCCTTTCAAGGTCAAAGACACCAAGGAAGCACAGCCAGGGATGTGCACTGCTCGGAATGGGAGTTCTCACCTCTTTCTTTACCTTGGAGGGTGGTATGTCAAGTGACAAAAGATATGCAACCCTCTTGAAGGATTGAAATGGGACTAAGAGGAGTCAGTCCTGTAAATGGCTGTTCTACATTACAAACCAAGGTGTTCATTTGTCAATAATTGATCAGGACTTCCAATACAAGGGCAAAATACTCCACATGCTTCTGACCCTTCTGAGGAAGGGTTACCGGACCCGAAACATTAACTCTGATTTTTTTCTTCACAGATGCTGCCAGACTGCTGAGGTTTTCCAGCAACTTCTGTTTTTGTTCCTGATTTACAGCATCTGCAGTTCTTTCAGAGATAGTGGGAACTGCCGATGCTGGGGAATCTGAGATAACAAGGTGTAGAGCTGGATGACCACAGCAGGCCAAGCAGCATCAGAGGAGCAGAAAAGCTGATGTTTCGGGTCTGGACCCTTCTGCAGAAATGGGGGAGGGGAAGGGGATTCAGATATAAATAGGGAGAGAGGGGGAGGCGGATAGAAGATGGATAAAGGAGAAGATAGGTGGGGAGGAGACAGACGGGTCAAAGAGGCGGGGATGGAGCCAGTAAAGGTGAGTGTAGATGGGGAGTTAGGGTGGGGATAGGTCAGTCCAGGGAGGACGGACAGGTCAAGGAGGGGGGAGGAGCCGGGTAGGTAGGGGGGGGGGGGGGGGCTTGAGTGGGAGGAGTGGATAGGTGGGAGGAAGGACGGATTTTGATCAAAATCTCCCCTCCCCCGACCACATCCCAAAACCAGCCCAGCTCGTCAAACCTGTCCGTCCTTCCTCCCACCTATCCACTCCTCCCACTCAAGCCCCCCCC